CTGCTGCTGCTGCTGCTGCTGCTGCTCGCTCTGTGCGAACCATAGTGCTGCTGCAGGCTCCGCAGAGCCGTCAGCAGCAGAAGAGTTCACTGCGCCCATTAGATCTTCCCGCCCCCAGCAGCTAGCGCAGGACAAGCAGCAGCAGCAGCGCCGCTGCTGCTGCTGCTGTTGCTGCTGCCGCTGCAGCTGCTGCTGCTTCTTCTCCCTGTGGCCAATGAGGCCAGAAAATGGAGGGCAAGTGCTTTCGCCCGGCTCGAGGGGCAGAAGAGCACTTGGAAGAAAATAGAGAACAGCAAGCCTGGGGCAGCAGCAGCAGCAGCAGCAAGTTGGCGTTTGTGCAGCAGCAAAAACGGAAACACCTCTCCAGAGAAATGTAAAAAGACCCAAAAGTCTCAAATTTGCTGCTGAAGAGGCAAATAAAGAATCGGCTGAAGAGAGGGCGCAGCTGCTTCCGAAGCTGCTGCTGAAATCGAAGCCACGGCGGCGGTCTTGGGGCCTTTTGCCCTGCAGCAGCAGCTCAAATGAGTGCAGCACCTGCAGCAATGAGGGAAAATAATACTTTTAAAGAATAAAATGAGCAGCTTTCCGCAAAGAAGCAGCCAGTTGTCTCGGAGGCGAAAAGAAGCTGCCGGGCTGATGGTCACAGCCGCAGGCAATGGCGCCGCTCCGCCTCCTTCGCTGCGCAGTTTCGGAAGAAAAACTCGAACACTAGAAAGTATATTTAATTTGTTTATTAAAATGAAGAATTCAAAATCCAAAAGTGCCAGTTCAGCTCCATTACGGCTCGCCCGAGGTGGCGGGCGCTAGACCGCTGCCAGCATCGGTGTCTGTACACTCCGTTGCCAAAGGCGCATTCGCGCAGATTCCGCCTTGATCAGTTTTGTGTCTGAAAATAACTTTGCAATTATTTAATTCGCAGCAATAGTTTTTTTCCGCGCGGAAAGCCTGAGTGTATGCTTGCCATTTGCTGCTGCAGCGCGCGAGGGAGAGGCAGCGCGGAGAGCAGCATTTGCAATTAACTGTTAGCCCATGAACACCAGGGAAAGCAGAGCTGAATCAGATTTAAATAATTCAAATTCTCATGTATTGGGGCCGGAGGAGCTTTTCAAAATAATTCAAATGAGCTCTTCTGCAGCTCCGGGAGAGGAGCTCGACACACCGCAGCGAGAGCTTGGAGTGTACGTACACCTGGTGAGTGCAACAACAGTTGGACTCACCACTAAAGAGAAATCACTTTTTTTTTGCTGCTGCTCAGAGGGGCAACCGCCCTCAGCAGCAGCAGCAGCACCTGTTGCTGCTGCAGCTCTCTATGCTTATCTCCCAGCTGCCTAACTAAAACGGCCACTCCTCTCTTAATGCAGCAGGCAGCGCTTCGCGCAGCAGCACCAAGCCTTCAGCAGCAGCGCCGCAGCAGCAGCATTACTTCCTGCAGCAGCTCTGCTGCCTGCAGCAGCAGCTCTGTTGCCTGCAGCAGCAGAGCTGCAGCAGCAAGTGCTGCTGCCTCCAAAAGCCATTTGAAGCAAAAATGTTTTTCCTGCATGAAAAGTAGCGGCATCTGAGGTGTTAAGGCACCTCAGGAGACCTTCAGAAACTCGTGTTGGCATTTGTGTCTTCAATTGTTTTAAAGAAACTCTTTTTACTTTAATTTTAATTATAAAAAGTACAATAAGGGTTTTTTCCTCTATGTGGAGCAGTGTCTATACACTACACATTTCCTGCAAACAGCAAATAAAACCCCACCACAAAATCTACACATACAGGCAGCAGCAGCAGTAGCTGCCACAGCTGCAGCAGCAGCTGCCACAGCTGCAGCAGCAGTAGATGCAGCAGGAGCAGCATCTGCCACAGGTGAAGCAGCAATTGCCACAGCCGCAATTGCCACAGCTGCAGCAGCAGTTGCCACAGAGGCAGCAGGACCAGCGTCTGCCACAGCTGCAGCAGCAGCTGCCACAGCTGTAGCAGCCGCAGCGTCTGCCACAGCTGCAGCAGCAGTAGCCACAGCTGCAGCAGCAGTTGCCACAGCTGCTGCTGCCTCAGCTGCAGCAGCAGTTGCCACAGCTGCAGCAGCAGTTGCCACAGCTGTAGCAGCAGCAGCATCTGCCACAGCTGCAGCAGGAGCAGCATCTGCAACAGCTATAGCCTCAATTGCCACAGCTGCAGCAGCATCAGCATCTGCCACAGCTCCAGCAGCCGTTGCCACAGCTGCAGCAGCAGCAGCATCTGCCACAGCTGCTGCAGCATCTGCCACAGCTGCAGAAGCAGTTGCCACAGATGCATCAGCGGCAGCATCTACCACAGCTGCAGCAGCATCTGCCTCAGCTGCAGCAGCAGTTGCCACAGCTGCAGCAGGAGCAGCATCTATCAGAGCTGCAGCAGCAGTTACCGTAGCTGCAGCAGCATCTGCCACAGCTGAAGCACCAGTTGCCGCAGCTGCAGCAGCATCTGGCACAGCTGCAACAGCAGTTGCCACAGACGCAGCAGCAGCAGCATCTACCACAGCTGCAGCAGCAGTTGCCACAGCTGGAGCAGCAGTTGCCACAGCTGCAGCAGCAGCAGCATCTGCCACAGCTGCAGCAGCAGTTGCCACAGCTGCAGCAGGAGCAGCATCTACCACAGCTGCAGCAGCAGTTGCCACAGATGCAGCACCGGCGGCATCTGCCACAGCTGGAGCAGCAGTTGCAACAGCTGTAGCAGCAGCAGCGGCTGCCACAGCTGCAGCAGCAGTTGCCATAGCTGCAGCAGCAGTTGCGACAGCTGTAGCAGGTGCAGCAGTTGCCACAGCTGCAGCAGCCGTTGTCACAGCTGTAGCAGCAGCAGCAGTTGCAACAGCTGCAGCAGGTGCAGCAGTTGCCGTAGCTGCAGCAGCAGTTGTGACAGCTGCAGCAGATGCAGCAGTTGCCACAGCTGCAGCAGCAGTTGTCACAGCTGTAGCAGCAGCAGCAGTTGTCACAGCTGTAGCAGCAGCAGCAGTTGCCATAGTTGTAGCAGCAGCAGCAGTTGCGACAGCTGCAGGAGGTGCAGCAGTTGCCACAGCTGCAGCAGCAGTTGTCGCAGCTACAGCAGCCGTTGTCACAGCTGTAGCAGCAGCAGCAGTTTCCACAGCCGTAGCAGCAGCAGCAGTTGCCATAGCTGCAGCAGCAGTTGCGACAGCTGCAGCAGGTGCAGCAGTTGCCACAGCTGGTAAAGCAGCATCTGCCACAACTGGTAGAGCAGCAGCTGGCAAAGCTGGTACAGCAGCAGCTGCCACAGCTGGTGCAGCAGCAGCAGACGAATGCAGCAGCACAGCAGCAGAAGTCCCTCCCAGGTCGTCTTTTCTAATTTGCTGCTGCTACCCTCGGAACTGCTGGCTGGCTTCTGCGGGCTTCTGCATGCATTTTTATTTTCATTTTATTTTACTTTTATATTTCAAACAATTAAAACTAACTCCTTCCCACAGCTGCTGCCTACACTATGACCTGCAGCAGCAGCAGATGGGAAAATGTGTGCTGGGCCACATCTGCTGCTGCTGCTGCAGCTGCTGCACTTGCTGCCTCTGGTGAGAGACTCAAAGCTGCAGGTGTACGTACACTGTGTCCCTCCGCTGCAGCAGCAGCAGCAGGGAGCGTTTTGTGTGCATTTCTCCACGGCAACAAAATTACATAACACACCAGTAAAGTTCTGTTGGGCTGGAAAGAAGGTCCGAGCCGCAACACAGCGGCAGGAGCTGCAGCAGCAGCTGCAGCAGCAGCGCGGCAGCTGCCGATCGTGGTACGCCGACACCTGCCACTGCCACTGCTGCTGCTGCTGCTGCTGCAAAGGCCTGTGTCCAGTCGCAGCGGCCGCGTGCCGCTGCATCCCTAAACCATAGCTGAGCAACAACAAAGCTGCATCTGCTGCACCACCTCCACCTGCTGCTGCAGCAGCAGCAGCAGCAGCAGCAGCAGCAGCAGTTTGTTCACTTCTGCTTCCCCGCCTGGGTCTTCGCCTTCTCCGTCCCCCGCACCTGCACACCCCCACCTCACCGCCCGCAAACCAACCCCTCCACCCGCAGCCGCAGCAGCAGCAGCAGCAGCAGCAGCAGCAGCAGCAGCAGCCCCCCCCTCCGCCCCGCGTGCCCCCCCTGCGCCCGCGCCGCCCTCCCCCGCAGCAGCAGCAGCAGCAGCAGCAGCAGCAGCAGGAGGGACCTTTTTCCTGCGGTTTTTGAGCTCCTTGGTGGCCCTGCGCCCCTTCTTGGGCTCCGCCTCCGCAGCCCCCATCCTCACGAGCCTGAAGCGCCGCTCGAAACGCTGGGCCGCCCTGAAGTCCTCGTAGATGAGGGCCTGGCCTCTGCTGCGGGCGCCGCCGAAGGCCGTGCGGAAGCAGCAGAGCACGAGGCAGCGCGGGTCGGGGACTTTGAACTGCTGCGCGAGCCGCTGCTGCAGCTCCTTGCGGCTGACGTTGGCGCGGCCGAGGTGCAGCACGTCGACCCACAGCTGCTTGCGCTGCAGCAGCGGGTTGGACTGCAGCTTGCGCAGGCGCAGCGTGAACGGCGACTTCGGCTCCGACATTGCAGCAGCAGCAGCAGCAGGGGGGGCAGGGGCTTCTTTTCGAACGGCTTTGTGGGTTTGCGGCGCGGCTCGGGTGCCGCGCCGCCCCCACAGCCCGCCGCGCCGCTGCCGCTGCCGCTGCTGCTGCTGCGCTGGGCGGGGCTGCGGCCGCTGCTGCCGCGCCCCACGCGCGCGGGGGCTGCTGCTGCTCCCGCCCGCCAAAGCCCTCGCCGAGAACTCCGAAAGACCGAAAGTTCACGCCCAGCCGCGGGAGGCGCCCTCCGGATCCCCTCGAACGCCGCTTTCCCACCCCCAAAATGAGGTACGCCGCGCGCCCCGCGCTCCGCCCAGTGGGGCGATCTTCACCCAAAAGCACCTCCAAACCCACTTCTGAAACCCCAAATCCACTCCAAAACGTGTTTCCCGTCTTTTCAACCCCAAAAACCCCAGCTTTCCCCGGGGTTCCACCCCCAACTGCCCTCCGGCGCCCGCCGCAGCGCCAGCCAGCCGCCTCTCCTCCACGCACGCCCGCCCCGCTCTTCCCGCCAAATCGCGCCCTTCCCACTTTCAAATCCTTATTTTCCCCTTTTGCAAACTCCCCAAAACTCGTTTGCCCCTTCCAAACCCCCCGCGCTGCGCCGCCCGCCGCCCCGGCCAGCCCAGCAGCGCGGCGCAGCGCCTGCTGTACATACACCCGAATTGCGCGCAGCCACCACCCCAGCACCGCGCTCCCACGAATGCTGCAGCAGCAAAAGATGCGCCTCGCAACAACAACTTCTTGCATTCACCCTTTCATTCACTTCCCAACTCCAGCTGCTGCTGCGCTGCTGCGCTGCTGTGAATTGCTGCTGCCCCCGTCTGCAACTGTGTCTGCAGCAAGCTGAGCCAGGAGACCCTCAACGCGGCGATCGCCTCCATCTTGAAGGGCTCTCAGGAGAAGAAGAGGAAGTTCGTCGAGACAATAGAGCTGCAGATCAGTGCGTCTCGCTGCAGCAGCAGCTGCAGCAGCAGCAGCAGCAAACAGCTGAACAGGGGGTGCTCCCGAAGCCCACAGCAGCAGCAAAACGCCGCCGCCGCCGCTGCTGCTGCTGCTGCTGCTGCTGCTTTCCTGCAGGCCTTAAGGATTATGACACGCAGAGAGATAAGCGTTTCTCCGGCTCTGTGCGCCTCCCCCACGTGCCCCGCGCCAAGTCCAAGGTGGGCCTTTTCCAGCTTCTTTTTATTTCTGCAGGATATTCTTGCTGCAGCAGCAGCAGCAGCAGCAGCAGGTGTGTGTGTGTTTGTGAAGGTTTGTGTGATTGGAGATGCCGTGCACATGGAGGAGGCGAAGGCTCTCGGCCTCGACTGTATGGACGTCGAGGCGCTGAAGAAGATCAACAAGAACAAAAAAATTGTGAAAAAGTTGGCGCGCAAGTGCGTTTTTTCCCCTCTTTTTTGCAATTAATGCTGCATTTCTTTTTGTTTAATTAAAAACATTAACTAATTCACTTAATTTGCTTTTTTTCTCCATTGTTCCGCATTCAAGTCGGGTTCGCGGCTCGCGAAACGCGCCTTCTCGGGTGTACGTACACCCCAGCGTCGCCGCAGCTGGACGCGGAGTGGACGGGCGCGATCTGGGGTTTCAGTTTGCCTTTTTCCGTTTTTTTTTGTAAATAAAAAATAAAAAAGGAAGATAAGTTTGGATTTGGAGTTGGTTTCGCGTTTGCGCGCGCAGGTATGACGCTTTCCTGGCGTCGCAGGCGCTGATCCCGCAGATCCCGCGCTACCTGGGCCCGGGGCTGAACAAGGCCGGGAAGTTTCCAACTCTGATTACTCACCAAGACAAAATCGAAGACAAAATCCTCGAAGTCCGATCTTCTGTGAAGTTCCAGCTCAAGAAGGTGCTGTGCATGGGCGTGGCCGTCGCCAACGTCGAGATGACCGAGGCCCAGGTGCGCGGGTTTGGGGTTTAGGGTTTAGGGTTTAGGGTTTAGGGTTTAGGGCTTCGGTTTCCACCGCGCCCCACCTGCAGTTCCGCTGCAGCCGGGCTGTGCGCTGGCTGCCCGCGCCCCTCAACCAGCAGCAGCAGCAGCAGCTGCAGCTGCAGCGGGGGGTTTGGCGCGGGGTGTACGTACAGGTGCGCTACAACCTCACGATGGCGATCAACTTCTTGGTTTCACTTTTGAAAAAGAATTGGAATAATGTCAAGCGGCTGCACATCAAGAGCACCATGGGGAAGTGCCACACCATATACGGCTGAGCCAGCAGCAGCAGCAGCGGGGGGGCCCGCAGTCCCTCTGCATGCATGCACGCGCAGCTAGCCAGCTGCTGCTGCTGCTGCAGCAGCTGCCGCGGCTGCTGCAGCTGCTGCAGCAGCTGTTGCGCGACTTGCTGCTTCCACTGCACGGGTTGCGGCTGCTGCAACGGCTGCTGCTGCTGCAGCCGGGGCACCAGCAGCAGCTGCTTGTTTCGCTGCGGTTGCAGCAGCAGCAGCAGCTGCTGCTGCTGCTGCTGCAGGGGGAAGAGCGCGGGCAGCGGACTAAAGAAGGAGAGTTTCGTTTTAGGCGAATTGAAGGCCGGCAGTAGTGCGGGGTGTACAGACACCGGAGCTTCACCTTAACCCACGCACACACGCACTGCAGCAGCAGCAGCAGCAGCGGCCGAACTAGTTAGTGTAGTGGAAGCTGCAGCAGTTTCAGAGCTAATTATCGAATTTATAAAAAGTTCGAAATTAGGAGAAATAAAGTTTTTTTGGATATATTTGTTGAATTCATCATCAAATTCAAATTTAAAATTATTTAAGTTGGCGGAGGAGCAGTAGCTGCAGCAGCACCTCACGCTGCGGTTTGCTGCAGCAATTTGCCGTTGCAGTTTGCTGCTGCAGCTTGCTGCTGCAGTTCGCTGCTGCGCTGCTGGGGTGTACATCCGCGGCTCCCGCAGCAACCCGCGCAGCAGGTGGAGCGTTTGCACTTTTAATAATTTGCAAATAAAGTTAATTTAAAAAGATTTTATTCTTCATTTCTTTTTAATTTTTATTATAATGCGGCAAAACGTTTTAAAAAGAGTTTGCTGCAGCAGCACTTTTGCATTTTCACATTGCACGGCGTTGAATCTCACCCAAAAATTGTCCGATGCAGCAGCAGCAGCAGCGGCTGCTGCTGCTGCTGCTGCTTCTGCTGTTTGCGTCAATTTGACAGCAGCAAGAGGCAAAAGGAGATAGAGAAAAAGAAAAGAAAAGCAACAGAAGAGCGTGCGGCTGGAGTGTACGCACACCTGCAGCAGCAGCTACGAGCGCCCCTCCGCAGCAGCAGCAGCTACGAGCGCCCCTCCGCAGCAGCAGCAGCAGCAGCAGCTGCTGCTGCTGCTGCTGCGGCGCACTAGTGCCCGCAGCTGCTGCGGCTGT